AGTGGTAGTCTTACTCGAGTGGTAGTTGTAGGGAGTGTCAATATTACATTATGCCCTTGACTGGATATTTGTAAGTTGCGAGTCTAAATCCTGCATTGTACTAATGTCCTTTGCCAAGGTATTGATCTACCTCCACTGTTTCCACATAGTTTTAGATATTTGGTACCTGGTAAGAAGGAATTCCTTGAATGGTGTGAGGTCCAATATTAGTAGCAAAGCCACACCTGAGGTAATATTAGAGAAGCTTGCATGGTGGATATAGATAATAATAATAATAAATATATATTTCATTTATAAAGTGTCTTTTCATTAGATACGAAGCACATAAACAAGAAATTCTTACAAACAAAAAGAGGGACATTATCATACAACGCTTTATGAGTAACGTAAGTAATATAAATGCACATAGAGGATATCAAATGTTGTTAAATACAGTTGAACAAATAATTCAGCTTTTGCAATGTTCATAAAGAAATGTTCAGTAGAATTAATCATAAAACAGAAGGCCGGCACCTTCTTCGACTACGTACTGTGTTATTGGTGTCTCTCAAAGATTTTGGACATTCAGATCAATTTCATTCAGAAATGTGTATACAGGTGTATTATAAAAACCTGATAGGATAATGAGAAATATGACGACACCTTGAATAAGGCAGAATTAATTTTACCCTAATGCTAAGAAAACAATTACAATAATTGACACTCTCAGCCCTAAGATTATTATTTTATCGCCTGACCAATTAAAAGGTGATGTACCATCTATCAAATAAGCCATTTTCTGGTAAACTTTTCAGATTGCTAAACTCCAGAAGAAAGATGCCAGTATGCGATCCTTACAAAGGTCTGGTCGACTAGCTGCTGAGAAGAAGAAATCCAGACAAAAGTTCCATAGAGAAGTCAAACTTCTTTGCAAACACTGCCGTCAATTCACCTGCTTCACAGAAGACATCAGGTCCATCAATGGACAACACCACATCGTCTTTGACAAAGGCTTCCAGGATCGCGTCATCACTGAGAGACTGCTGGAGGAGGATTACCTGTATAGCGATGCAAAGGCGTCTAAGGAGACACGGTGTAAAAGATGCAAGAAGCAGTTGGGCTTTATGATGATCTTCACAGAGCATGAACTGCCTCTGCTCGTTATCAGGTATCTAGTCATCGAGCTGGCCAACGGGGTCAAGGTATACAAGAAGAAATGGAGCGAAACAACCTCCATTTTCACCATCAAGGATATGGATCTGGAAGATTTGGCAGAGAGACTGAAAATCTCTGAAGAGGATGAAGAATCCATTGGTGGTGATGATGAAAAGGAGAAATAGAGTAACAAAGTTAAGGGAGAATCAGTTCACACGTGACAGGGTGCTCACTAAACCACTGTAGCGGAATCAACTTTCATTTGTATATATGCAAACGAATGGGAAGTGAGGGTGAAATTAAGAAGCTGCCAACAGCAATTAAGCTCCCTAAGTGCAATTACATAAACATACCTGTGTGGTATGAAATCCACACATTTGAAGCATTTTAGTTTGCTACAATGCTTTACGGAAGAAGAGATTTCTGATAAACTCAGAAGTGCAGGAACACCAACCAGTACAAAAAATGAAAGAGTAATCAGTTGATTGCAGAAATAATGTTATGGTTATATCTACCAAAGTGATCGATGGTATAATGTATGAAGCAGGGTTATGTGTTATTATACAAATAATACACAGCAGTGAGGGCATTAGTAAGAATTATCCACACAAGGTACCTTTGGAACAGTCTTAACACACCTGAGGCGTAGTCGAGGGTGTTTGGACTGTTTTGAAGGTACCGAGTGTGGGTAATTTTACTAATGCCCGGACAAAATGCTCTGTATTATTTGTTTTATAAAATGGTGTTTTATATGTTATATAAATGATGTTTTATAACATGATTTTACTAATGACTGGTTATTAGAATTAGATAATGACCGGTCATTATCCAAATTACGTGTTAGGCAGAATGAATGCCTGGTCCCATGTACGCTTTCAACCAATCATTTGATTAGGATCCATGTCATCATATTAACATATGATGTGTTCATGATCTTGCAATATGTGTTTGTTATTGTACAATTCATCCCTTTGGAGAATAGAGTTTTTTTATATTGCAGCTGAGATATTTGATACTCTACATGATCAAACACAAATTTTATTGTAAATGTAACACTTAACAGATCCAGAGTTTAATGTTTAGCTATATTTAGGCTTTCCTTTGATGTACTTATTATGTTTTTAAAAAAAGTGAGTTACAATCTTCAGGAGGCACAAATCTTCATATCATTCAAATGATTTGTGCAGTGCAATAAAACTCATTCATATTTTAGGTTATAATTGTAAATGTAAGTAATATGTCTTTCATTCTTTTCAATTCACTCATATATGTTTTTTACATGTAGAGAATGCCATGAAATGTACAGCGTAGTTGTAAAATTTCCTTGAGGTACAGCGAGGGGCTAGCTGTCGTGCTGGAACCACTAAAACCCGACAAATAGAGGTCGTTCAGACGCGAAGGCCTTCATTTGAGCCGAAAAGAACACCTATTAATCGCTCGAACATAGTGCCTATTCGGAAGAGTATAGTGAGTACCTCGGCAACTAGCCAGCACAATGAAAACTGCAACAATCTAACCTCCATTTACCTGAGTAATATCGATCGATGAACAACAAACTCGATGAGCTTGAAATTGTACTCCGAAACTTGGATACCGATATATGTGCAATATCAGAAACATGGTTGTCACATGATCAAATTGATCGAGCTGACATGATCCTTCTCACTCGATGGTTACACACACTTCTACAAATGCCACAAAGGTAGGAGAGGTGGAGGCGTGCTTCTGTACGCCAGAAAATAACTCCGTCCTTCTAATGTGAACAGTATAACTGTTCCGAAAAATATAGAGATTACCTGGATACACTTAAGGCCAAACAGGCTTCCAAGAAAAGTTTCAGGACTGTACATTGCAGTGCTGTACTCTCCACCCCAAGGTTCAACTGACGATGAACTCATTGATCACATCATTCAGAGCATGACCAGCTAAAATCAGCCCACCCTGACGCTGGGTTTATTGTGTTAGGAGACTATAATAGACTCAACAACAGACCCTATCACCACTAGCTGCAACCTGAAGCAAGTTGTGAACATACCAACCAGAGAGAATGCAGTACTTGACAAGATGATCTTAACAAATGTGGCCTTTTTCTACAGCAGACCCCAGGCAATGTCCCCGGTTGGTAGAAGCAACCACAACTCCATCATATGGGTGCCTAAGCAACTCCCTCCACGCCAAATCAACACAACTTGCGAACGTACTGTACGACGTATTCAAATGTATGTATGTATGTATATATGTATTCAAATGTTAGAATCTTTGGTCGATGGATATCCCGCCATGAGTAGAGTGAAGTGTATGATGCTACCACAACTGCAGACAAGTGTGACGCTTTTCTACGCTTCCCTAAGCAAGATTGATGAGTGTTTCCCAACAAAATGTGTTCGTGTCCACAACCAAGACAAACCATGGATAACTCCCAAGATTAAGTCCCTGATAGATTCACGGCAACAACTTTTCCACATTGGTCAAAAGAAAGAACACCGTGCTTGCAGTAAAAAAATAATACACAGTATTCAACTCGCGAAAGGTCACTTTTACCATGATCCCGTACTTGATCTTAAATGAAGAACCCGGCCTCATGGTACAGAAACATCAAGCTTATGGCGAATTCCTCAAAGTCTGATCAAACCATACATGTTCCCGGTGTTGACCCGACCGACGGAGTGGCCGTCGCAAATGCTACCAACAACAAATTCATCCACATTGCCAGTGATATTCCACCCCTAGATACTTCACAGCTACCAGCGTACCTGCCCGGTAAGAAGCCACCACATGTGCAACCTTGGGAAGTATATACCAAGAACTTTCCCAAATCAAACCCGGTAAATCCAGTGGCCCGGACGCTATCCCAGCAAGGATCATCAAGATGTTTGCCTACAAGCTCAGCTCACCCTTGTGCGATGTCTTAAACTGTTCATTTGCTGAACAGGTAGTCCCACAGCAATGGAAATGGGCAATCGTGGTGCCTATACCAAAGGAACAACCTGCAACCATTGAGAAACTCCGCCCCATAGGGCTAACAGACCACTTTGCCTAAGTTGCGGAGCTGTTCATAACCAAATGGCTACTTTCCGACATCAAATCCTCTCTCGATCCAAAGCAGTTTGGATGTAGACCTGGAATGTCCACAAGCCAATGTCTCGTCGACATTGTGAACTTTCTTGCCAAGAATGTGAAAAGACTGGATCTGTCTCTCAACAGTTATAACAACAAACCTTTCCAAAGCCTTTGAAAGGGTTGACCATTCCATTGTTATTCCCAAACTCCTGAAATACAACCCTGATAGTAACTTGGTACGATGGATTACCGACTTCCTGACTGAACGCACTCAGTGTGTCCGGTACCGCGGGCGTCTGTCCGAATGGGTCCCAGTAGGTGCAGGCCGAGTCCCTCAGAGTACCAGACTGGGTCCAGTGCTGTTTCTTGTTCTAATAGACGACGCTCTCTCGTCGTCCGATCTACAGCATTGGTAGTATGTATTTAAACAAATGGTCTAATGACAATAACATGTCCTTAAACGTAAGTAAGTGCCATGCCATGAGGGTTTACTTCGGTAAGACACCCATAACACCTCTTGATGTAAAGCTGGCCAATCAAACTCTAGAACAGGTCGATTGTGTCAAGATACTTGGTGTCACGTGTGCAATCAAATTTGAATTGGGATAGGCATACGGCTGATATTCTCTTAAAAGCCAACAGGAGAATGCACATGTTACGATCTCTGACCCCGTTCAAATTTCACTTATAAGATCTAATCACTGTTTACACAGGTTTCATTCGACCACTGCTTGAATATGCAGTACCTGTCTGGCACTCCAGTCATACCATTGCCCCGGCCAACCAACTTGAGCGTATACAGAAACGCGCACTCCGACTAGCGCTTGGCCCACTTTATCATTGTTATGATGATGCCCTACAAATAACCAACTTAGAAAACTTGCAAGACAGAAGAAAGTGATTATGCACCAAGTTTGCCCAAACCCTCGTAAAAGACAATAGATTTCGAGATTGGCTACTCCCTCAGAGGCAAAGTCTGGGTACCCTCACGCTAAGAAGGGCCAATCTGTACCCAACAATAAGGCCAAATAAAAAAAAACCACATGTTTAGCGTCCTGTTTTTTGGAAAAATAGGAAGGAGGAGGCCCTTTTTTTTTTTTTTTTTTTTCAAAATGGCAGCTCGGCACATTTTCCCTGTCAGTCAGGCTATTTTTCAAGATGGCCGCCGACGTTTTTTTTTGTTTTTTTTAATCAGAAATAGTTTCATTTTAGCAGTGTTTTTCATGTTTTTTTCCTTTCAAAAAAAAAATTCAAAAAAAATCAACAACAACAAAAAAAATAGGAGGCGGCCCCCAAAAAGGAAGCGGGTGGGAACGCTAAACATGTATATTTTTTTACATGGCCTAAAGTGTAGAACCGATCGATACAACAAGAGTCCAATCCCTTTTCTTGTCTCCTTGCTCAACTCACTGTAGGATGAGGTTCGAGAGTTTTCTATCATGTCTTGAGTTTAATTCCAAAGTTATAGTCTGGTGATAACGATACTCTTGTACAACAATAAATTAACATTATTTATCTTTTCAAATGTATTACGTGTCACATAAATGTTATACAAATATATAAATAAATGTACTTGTTACGAGTTAATTGATTTGTACCTCATTTATTCGTACATATATCAATAAACAGATGCTAATAATATAAGGGAATCCATGTATTTATCTTAATTTTGTGCCCTCTTTGTATAGAAAACTACCTCTATTATATATAATATTTATTGGTTTGCCTCCAGTACCTGTTTCCCACTCAAAACATACACAATCTTTTCACGGAACCTGATTTTGCCATAACTCAAAGCGTTACAATTTATTAATGGTCACCTTTGACGCTCTTTGTTTACGTTCGGTATTATGATTTCAATTTGTTACCATCACACTTTCAATTCAATACGTTACTTCCTTGAACTATTGTTGTAATCTACAACATATACCTCGATTCATATACTTAATTATTAATAAAGAACTCAGCTTCTCGGTTTCTACTTCCCTTTCAAGGGGATAGATACATTTTTCCTGTTCTAATGTGATATTTCTATTATTATTATTATGAGTAAATATTTTTGATTCCGTTTAACGCCATGTGTAATTAATTAAGCTCATGCACTTGTTATTGTAAAATCATTTATAATTCAGCTCTTGAGCTGCGATGATGATTATTGAATAAATACCATTATTATTATTATTTCCAAAGATATACTCAAATGTTCTGCGATATTTCAAAGTTGCTGGAGCACGAAAGCATACTTCTAGCAACACCTTAAGTATAATCCTCACTTGTTTTATTACAATAAATGTTGTTATCATTATTTGTTGTATATTAGAAGTAAATTTTGTAATAGAGATGTTCTAATTGCTTGACAGAAATAGTCAGAAGCCTGGTGATTAGTTTTCAGTCCATCTGGTTTATATATTTGTTGAATCTCTTCACTCTTCACTGTGTATAGAAAATAATTATGGTTTACAACTTTCAGCTTTCTACTGGAGACAAATCAATGTGCTGCATGTATTCGTTTAAGGAGAGGTTTTGATATTAGTGAGCTGAATGCAGTTGTATAGGATGCAGTCTCCAATTTGTGATTTAAGCAGCTTTTGATTTTGTAGATTCACCAGCTACTGAAATTTATTTAAGCCTTCTAAAGTGAGCTGCCCTTTTCGTCCAAAAGTTAACTTTCCCTCATCTTTTGGGTTTCCCAACTGCCCAAGTAGGCTTGCTTTTATCTTGTAAACAATGACATCAAGTCAGTTTCCATCACCAATCATCATTCTTGACTGGCTGTCACTATGTTTAAGACTCTCATCATTTATGGTACTAAACTTTATTGTCATTGTTCTTATGTGTTCTCTAGAATTTTATGCCTTAGCCTTTTATTTCACAATCCTTTCTCTCATCATCATCTCATCGTCATCATCATAATCATCATTGTTTAACATTTGTTTTTCACACATTGTTGGGTTGGATATTTCATTTCCCTTATGGGCTTTCTCCAAGCCCTTCATTCTTCTGCATCCACCTGGCTAGGGTGAGACCAGATGCTCCCATATCTGCTAGTATCTCCTAAAAGGTTTTGTGAAATTTGCTACAGGGTTTTCTTGTAGGCAGCCTGAAAATTCATCGCTGAGGAAAATGGCCTTTTTCTCCCCCTAAACGCTCAATGTGTGTGTTAGTCTTAGGATTACACTTTTTTGACAACATAAAGCAGATTCAAATGTATTGCCATGTATAACAATTTATGTCTTTCTAGTCGCACAGTAGTTTTAAAGTAATAAACTTTTCATAGCATCTACTATGAGGTTTTTTACCTTTTGCTTGCATGTGGTAAGCAGTTGTGGCCAAAACATACTGTAGCAAACTGCAGTTATCCTGAAGTTTGTCATTCTTTCTCTCGTACTCTTTTGTTGTTAGAAAAGCCATTTTAATTATTTTTCTGAGGCACACGTTTCACATTGATTGTCTTTCATTCCCAAGCCTTCTAACCTGTTACCTGTACTGTAATGGTAATTACTATTATTGCTTTAATTGTTAACACATTGGACTCTAAGCCTGGAGATTCAAGCTTATAATTCAGGAAGAATATAAAATGTAAGAAAAAGTTCTGTAGAAATGTGGTAGCTAGATGAAGAGCTCGTTTTTACTATTTGAGTACTGTTACAAGTCATTTGTTGACCAAAACATTAATTGATTATCAAGTTTAATAATCTGCAATAATATGTACGCATATTATGTTTTACATTATCACTTTGTTTATTGTAAGACATTGCTAAGCATTCTTACTTTTTAAACTTTTTCTAAACTGATTTGTACCGAAATAAAGCTCGACTAGCACATGTGCTTGACGCCTTTTACCAACCAATAGTTTTTGCGTAAATATTATATGAAATTTATTATTGTATCGCTGTGGGTAAATAAAAATCAAAAATCAAATCGGTGTTTAATATGTAAACCATAGTTTAGTAATATATACGTTTGAAGCTGGCAGTTCAACTGATTTGCAACATACATGTATATGTGTAATATTAAAAATATGTTCTGTTATGTATATAATGCTACACAGAAATGATATGCGCAAATAAATGTTATTAAAACATAACAAATTCACAATGTGATTCTTTGTTTTGTTTTTATTTAATTTACTATGGTGTTTAAACATAGACTGCCTTCAGATTTGGTGCGATGCTTTTTTTCAGCAAGTCCGTAGGTAGGATCTGCAAATCGTTATGTCTCCCAATAGTATTACGATTTAAAAGGGGGTAGAGAGACGAAGAAGAATATAAGCGGAGAAAGAGAGCAAATAAGGGAGGGAGAGAGAGATCGAAGGAGGAAGGAAAGAAAGGGAGGGGGTAGAAGATGACAAAATTGGGTTCAGAAAAATGGGACATGGCCCTAGCGCGAACCTCCAAAAGAGCAGCCGATTTATGTAAGCTGATCACCCTGCTGCCCTCCTCCCCTAAAAAAAAATGGTTGTTTTCTCAAGTAAGCGGTGAAAATATTAAGAAAATAGAAAACTGACTTTGATGTCACAGATATGGAAAAAGGGAAATGGTTTCTCTTGTAGTAAAAGTATATGTGATCGCGTGAAGTTTTCTCGACCAGATGGGCAGACTGGGGGCGTTTCACAAAACTTGTCATCAGTGACAAATGACATTATATTTATGTATCTATGATATATGTATTTTGGGTAACAAATGCTCAAATCAAATAAAATCAAAGAGAGACAAAAAAAACTACACAGTGATTTTTGTAGAGAAAAAAATCAGGGGATTTCCCACTTGTAAAAGCGCGCATTTTCTGCAACCTGCGCTGCAAGGTGGGCGCCCTTAAAGAGCGTATAAAGAGAGCGCGTAAACAAATTGCCTGTTGCGCGTACCAACAAAGTTATGAATTGCTAGCTCTCTAGCTCTTTCACTCAACTTGCCTGACCTGAAACTTTCCATGCCTATTTCAATCACCGAAAGAAAGTCTTTTAACCACTTTTTTAGTCATTCTATTCTGTGGAAAAGAGGGTGAGTTGAATTACTATAGTTTTGTCGTTATTGTTCAAATGTATCGCTTCTATCATTAGCATCTTGGAACTCACTTCCTATCAACGTAACTAGATCTGTCAGTGTCTTTGTTTTTAAACGCAAATTGAAATTACATTTATTGAGTAACTATGTCGACAATTAACGTAAAATTATATCACCAGAAATGATATTAGGCAATAATTTGTCAATTGTTATTGATAACGTGCATTATTTTTTTGTTTTTGTTATGTTTGATTATTCAATATAAATGTCAGCATTTCACATTCTCTCCCCCCCCCCCTCCTCTCTTCTATTTTTCTTTTTCTTTACACCAAATACCATTTTCCCATATCTAGTCTATAACTTTCTTCTTTCTCTGTTTTTCTCTGTTTTGTTGTTTTTCTCGTTCCAGTTTGCTTTTTCCCTCTCGATTCCTTTGTATATATTTTCATCCTCTCCTTTTCAAATTTCAAGCTATCCCTTTTGTAAATATTTCCCCCATATTTAATCATGTGTAGTTTTGATAACTTTGAAACATTTTTTAAAAGTGAAACATTGATGGATTACTTTATATGGGGACCTTGCTCTTACAAGCCCAGCTTTTCTAAGGTCTCCACTTTCTTTCATTTGGATTATATATCGACTTAAAATTGTACTTAAATTGTTTTTTTCTTATGCTGTTTTTTGTTCTATTATTATATGTAAAAATGTTGTGAAAGAAAGAAATAAAATGAACCTTGAACCTTGAACCTTGAACCTAGATCCATGACCTTATGAGCATGAGTATGAGTATGATATGGGATAGACCTAACCAAAGTTCGCGGAGATTTTTGAAAATATTGGGAAATGTGATGTTCGATCCCTGATTTCTCTTATTCTACACTCATTTATTTAGTTTATTATTACCAAAAGGACGGTTAAGTTTATGACTACAAATTGGTGCAACTACTAAATTAATCGTCAAAGAATTCCGGAAACATCGCCAACTCAACATTCGATGTCGGACCGGCATATAGGCCTACATGATGTAGTCTAGGTCTATATGGCTGTGTGACCAAAGTTCGCGCGTGACCTAAGTTCGCTATCTCAAAAAATCGGTTAGATTTCGAAAATCTGATATCATCAATGGAAAGAGGAACATATAATTACCCAGAGACGAAACTTTCTTTGGAATTGAGTGCGAAATAAGATCTAGATCTAGGTCTAGTCTATTGACAAAAGATCGGCAAATTTTGTAGTCATTTGCGTCCATTCCGAAAAATTATCAACTTACCAATAATGGTCGATCTGGAAAGAGACATTGCTTTTCTTTTTTTCTTCCCCCATTTTTTTATTTTTTTTGTCGGGGGGAGGGGAGGGGGAGGGGTAAGGTCACCTTTTTTAGGTCACCTATTAGCATTATTTTTTATACTTTTTTATATTTTTATTTATTAAGTAAAAAAAAAAATTTTTAAAAGGGGGGGGGGGGGGTTCGTCCAAAATCCACAAAGTGAACCCCCCCCCCCCTTCGTAGCGCCTGCGACTCTGAGTATGATTATGACGGGTTTATGTGCCTGGACACTTAGCAAACACAAAGAATTCTCTTTTGCCGTCTTTTGCCAATTGGATTTCACAAAAATTATTATCCTTCATAACAAAGTAAATCTTTTAAAAGATATGAAAATTGCTCAATAGGCGGTGTCACATGTAAACCTCTTCGAAATACTGCACGTCATAGGTGGTCCAAATTCGCGATTTGAACACCACGTGTGTTTGTCCCCCCCCCCCCCCCCCCCCCCCCCCCCACCCCACCCCCTTCTTCCTCCCTACCCGAATCATTACTGCTCTTCAATACTGACTTCTTTCATTCACCTATTTTGTCTATAGCTTAACTCTCGAATTGTTGTAACCTCTTCTTCTTTTTTCTTCTTCAAAACACTTAAACAGTCTTCAAAATGGTGGACACGTTTATTCCAATGGTCCAGATTGAATGTAACCAAATACCATCACGTCATGAGCAGGGGATTCCCCGCTTCATCAACAGAGGTTCACAACCCATGGTGATGCCTGGCGTCCAAGTGAATATACCACAATCTGTGACGGCCAACGGGTTTTCAAACACCGTCATCGGCCAGAATCCCTCATTTCCTCCTCAGCAGACACGTGCCGTTGCTACGATGCCACATGTCCCTCCTGCTACCGTGTCACTATCAATCCAACCGCCTCACAATCATCAAGGACTCAACCAGTGTGTTATCAACAAGTCCCAAAGTCCTCCAAGCCCGTCGATATCCTCTACAGTATCAGGCATGAGCGTCTATGAGGACTGCGTCTCAATTCAACCAACCTCTCCACGCCAGCAACCCGACCCGTTCTTCTACCAACCCTTTCTCCAGCATTCTTTCGATCCGAGTGGTGACCAGCCGAAGCAGAACCACGATCCAGTGAAGTCGGTGTCTTTGTCGTCTATTCCTAGCGGTGTTGATAGCGGCGGCAGCAACCAGTGGACCGGCCATCAGACAGGTCCGTCATCGCAGACAACAACCATCAAACCCGAGCAGGCCATGGCGATGGTCAACGAGAAACTCCGTGATCGCATCGCTACCCTTGAGAAGAAGATCCACAGTGCCCTAGCCGAAGTGACGTTCCTTGGTGATCGCAACTGGAGACTGGAAGCCCACGTCGATTCCTTGATGCACACCCTCGAGGTCCTTGGCGTCACCGATATCGAAGACTTAACAGGAAAAACAGTATGACATCTTCACTTGCATCTATCACTTCTAATTCATTTCAATGGTTCCTATTTGTATTAATTTTTGATAAATTGTGTCAAACCTGTAGGTTTAGCAATTAAATAATTAGGAATAAATTCGTTTAAATGATAACATTTTTCCTGAGACCAGTTGAAGTTGTCTCCATCTGTTAGCAAGATATGAAATGAAAGTCTTACAATTTTCTCTCCATCCTGTAGATATGATTATAATAAAAATATGATTTCAAACAATATTGATCTCCCATGTTTTAATCATGTCTTATTTTTGATGATCTACATGTCTTTTCTTCCTCTGCTCATTTCTATCCAATATCAAATTCTCTCTCTCTCTCTCTCTCTCTCTCTTTCTTTCTCTTTCTCTTTCTCCTCTGCCACATCCAGCTGCCGCTGCCTATGTTCCGAGTCAAGGTCAAAGCTGGTTACCGTCTCGGACCGTTTAACCGTCTCCCTCGTCGTGCCGTGTGGAGTTATGACGAAGATTGTAAAGAGCCACCAAATATCGACTTCAGCTCGGATCGGGCTAGAACATTGAAGGGTGACGGAGCCAAAATGTTTCATGGTTTGTATGACGATTTTTAGCTCTGATCGGGCTAGAACACTGAAAGGTGACGACAGGGGCAGCGGAGCGTCTTCCAAAGTGGGGGGGGGGGGGTAGTGCACCAAAAAAGGGCACTTTCTGGCAACAACGGGCACCTACCATGGGAAATCTCAAAGCGAATATATACATCGGTATATACCCCTACATTCAGGGAGGATTTCTCTTCTCTCTTTTCATGGTCCAAGAAACTGCTTAAGCATCATACTTTATAGTTGGGTGTGATGGTCTGAATATTGATTTGCGAGCAAGCGAGCGACAAATTTAAGATTTGTGATGTCGCAGTGCGGAAGATTACATCTTATAAAGAGGAAATACAAATGCTGATGGGTTCTAAGCACAATAAAATCATAAAGGACTGAAAAGACCTTTAATAAGTAACATGATTATATAAAAATAAATGTGAGCGAGGTATGGAGAAAAGAAAGAGAGTACTTATCAAAAGGGAAAAATACTCTTATTACAAATAAAAGGAGCACGTGTCCAAGTAAAAATTGCAACTATCAGAGGTGAAAAAATGAGCACTTCTCGCACCCGAAAAAGGGCACTTATGAGAATGTAAATAAGACACTTATTGCAAAATAAAAGAGGCTGTTGAAGAAGGAAAATGGGCACCATTCACATTTTAATGATGCATTTATCAGAGGTGAAAAGGAGCATTTAAGGAAAAGGGATCGATGGGGCTCTTAATGAACGTACGTGTCAAAATAAAAGTAGTACTTACCAGAGGTGAAAAGTGACACTTATTAAAAGCGGCATTTGTAAAAAGTAAAAGGAGGCACTTTTCCTATCTAAAAAGGGAAATTTTGATGATACTAAAACTAAGGGTCACTGTGTAATTCACGCGTCTTTCTTACAATCTTTCATGGACAACTTCATCCTCATCACAAACATACTTCCAACTATATGGAAAATAAGATCAAGGGTGACGAATCTAAAAGCTCCTTGCGTTGGCCTATATCATGAGTTAAGTAAAATATACACACAAAAATATAGCATTTATTAACAAGTTAAACTGATATAGAATCACATCATGATATAAATCAATTAAATAATTATACCTTTCAAAAACCCATACATGTAGTTCACAAAACATTTCAAAATAGAAAAATGCTTATTGAATTTACACTGGGTTGTTTCCTCAGACGATGATCTTCATCTTCCTGCTGGCACGGACATCGGGTTGAGCGTCCGTCAGATGTTCCATTACGAGCGACAGATCGAGGCGTTACGCGAAGAGAACCATGCCCTATCATCCAGAGTAACAGAACTCACAGAGCAGGAGACGAGCTTCCAGGAAAACTCCAAGAAGGTTCAGCACCAGTTTGCCGAGCTCCAGGATGAATGCGAAGATACAAAGGTAGCTAGAGGTTCACCCACACCATCACTTGCCTCATCGGCTTTTCTCTATTTTCTCCATATTTTGACAACTCTCTCCCTCTCTGTCACCCAAACACACACACATACTCTCACCCCCCCCCCTCTCTATCTCTCTCTCTCTGACACTTTCCACTCTCACACACTCTCTCTTTCTCTCTCTCTCTCTCCCTCACTCTCTGACACCCAACACACACACACAATGTCACCCTCTCCCTCCCTTACAAACACACTTTTCAACCTCTCTCTCTCTCTCTTACTCTCTCACACATACACACACCCACAGACTGTCACCTTCTCTCACAGTATCTCTCTCTCTCTCTCACACACACACACACACACACACTTTCAATCCCTCTATCTCTTTGTACCCTTAATTCTTTGCCTCTCCCTTTCCTCGTTTCTCCTTTAAAAGTAAGTCAGCAGAAATAATAACGACACTTTCATTTTGATGGTATTACAGGTGTATTTCGGTTCAATTTTTTTTCAATATTTTTTCTCGCCGAAATCAGAACCGTCTAAGACATAGTGAATATTGCAAGGTCAAGTCCAAGGTATTTGAACAGTCGGTGTCCTGTTATTTACATAATTCTTAAACATGGAAACGAGAACCTTCCCTGACAAGATCTTCACAGCTATAGTAAGGCAATCAAAGTAATAGGCAACTGTCTTCGGGTGTACTAAAATCTTTGACCTGGTTGATAACGAATGGACAAAGGACCTTGAAATGGACCTCCTATATTCAAAGTCACATATTCGAGTATCATTTATAATTTCCTAGTGATATAGGGGAACAGTCTGATTTTTTTTCTTTCGACGTGCTTTATTTCATAACTAGGCTTACACCTTTCTTTGTTTTTCGATGACAGGCTGAACTGAACTGCGTTGTGATGCGTCTTCGGAACTACGATGGCTCTATATCGACGTCCCAGTCGCATGGCGAAGACATGGGTGACCACTGCAGTGATTCCTCATCATTGTACCCAACTTCATACAACAGTCATCCCGATAACGACTATCATCAGGGTCATAAACCGAGTCAAGCAGGACCTTACTATCGACGGTCTCACAATGAGGGCGGTATACGAGACGGAAGACGATATCGTAATGTTAGAGGTCGTTGATATTTAGAAATGGTTCTAGGACACCTACCCCCTGGACATCCACCCCGGCAGTCAACTACCCACTAGGACTACTACCCCCGGGACAACTACCCCCAGGACTACTCCCCCCCCCCCCCCCGACCAACTACCCCCAGATATCTACCCCAAAGGATAGTTGTCCGCTGGGTAGTTGTCCTAGGGGTAGTTTTCCGGGGATAGTTGTCCGGGGGTAGTTGTCCAAGGGGTAGTTGTCTGTGGGTTAGTTGCCCCAGGGGGGGGGGGGGGTAGTCACCCTAGAGGGTGGTTGCCCTAGGTGGTAGTTGTCCTAGGGGGTAGTTGTCCTTGGGGGTAGTTGACTTGGGTGGTTATCTGGAGGATGGATGTCCAGGGGGTAGGTGTCCAGATATGTTTAGAAAAATGACACAATTACAAAGAAATATGTATTCTAGACAGAAAAGTATCATACCTTTACAATTTTTGATATGTTGATTCGAGCTGATGCCATTTTCATTTTCTGTTGCCAAGCTGTTTAATTAGTAGCCTGCATATGTACTGTGGATTGGGAAAGTAGGCTTTATTTATAATTGTGTTACAGGTTTCAGGTTTGATATTTCAAAGTAATCTCTGTATGTATATCTAACGGTCACTTCTTTTCTTGGTTCTGCGAGATATAGGCTATCAGTTTTGCAAACCGATGCGCCCTGCTAAAATTCACGGAAATCGGTTTCTAGCAACCAGCGATTGTTCCCTCAGATTAAATAATGCCAAATCAACACGATGACGGTTAATATTTGGGGAAAGAGCCATCATGGCTTTAACTCTGTTATTACAGTATTTGAGTGAATATAACAGACGCTACATTGGGTTTGACGTGTCCCCTACCCCCTCCCCTCCTCTCGATTTACCACTCAACGACAAATTCAAATATAATGAACCAAATTCATTCAAATGCTATACGTCCAAAAACTTGTTTAAGTTCTGAAAATGTATATAACACATGTGGTGAGCAGGCTATGTGTCCTGTTTGTCAGATAGTCTTTATAGGTGCACTGCTCTGTGCGCGGCTGCCGGGTTACATTATTTTTCTTTTTGGAAACACATTCGAGTCAAATTACAATATGCGTACGAAAAAACTTAATATTACTATGCATATCTTCATTACTAACAATATCAAATGTCGATTGTTTTAAGTAAAACATCTTTAGTTCAATAAATCATTGATTATTTAATGGAGGCATTATTATGTTTGATGAGGCCGTTATGTCTATCTACATGTATCTTCTTACTTTCTAAATTTCTCTTAGAACATATACCTGTACGCTTAATGGCCTAGTTTGAAGTAGAGTAATATTTGTAGCTCAATAGCAATTAATACAAATATATTTGTAATCTCAAATCAAATTGAAGAAGATTATTGGTAAATCCGAAAACTCTGTAGCAATTCCTATGTTGTGTTCCTATACGTAGTTTATAGTTATACCCTTCGCTGGTTAATCGATAAAATCAGACACTATTTCTCAAACTGTTCCAATAATAAACTAACATGATGAATTTCTATTCAACATAATAAGGTATACTGCTGTTAACATGATTAAGAAAGCTATATTAATTCAATACAATACAACAATTACAAATTTCACATGATTCTAGATTCGCAATGAATTCTAAAGAGTACGTGCTCTGTTAAACCATATTGATGAGTCGCTTCGTATTATTTCAATTTTCCTATAAACATTTTCAAAAATAATTGCCTTTACGATGTTTTTTTAATTTACGATATGTCCAATAAACACTAAGCATTGCCTTTACTATTTACATGATCAATGCGTTGATTACTATATACAAAATTGCTAAGAATGCACAGTTCTCCTTGGTTATAGGTATAGAATGGTGAAGTGTAACGTCATCAAAAAATCTATTTTGGAATTTCACAATTTTTTCTTCATTTTTCGAAAGAGTACATTATTTCTTGTTAAGAAATAATGTCCAAATGTTGAAAAGCAATAGAAAATGTAAGTATTGGCTGAGATATGACCATCTGAATAAATAGATTTCCTATAGGAATTCATTGTTATATTGCTCTGGTTCATAACATTACGAGCCAGAGCAATATTACAATGAGTTCCTATAGATATCCTATTTTTTCAGATGGTCATATCTCAGCGAATACTTACATTTTCAATTACAATTGGTTTTTCGACATTTGGACATTATTTTTTATGCTCTTTCGGAAAATGAAGAAAAAAATGAAGAAATTCAAAAAATAGATTTTATGATGTCACAGCTTCGATACTCTTCCGTTACCGACGTTGTGTGAAGCCCTTCTATAATTTTTCAAAGATTTCATGAGGGCGATAGTGCCTCCTGAGCATTTTTAATAAACGATGTGTTAATATACAGAAGAGGTCAAATACCGAGGGTAAATGAGGAAGAGAGACAGACAGAGAAAGAGAAAAGGTCTAACCCTCTGAACAATTGCTCGAAAAAGGACCATTCCAGTAATCGACTTTCTGATCGACATTCATCCTAGACCATGAAGACTGAAGAGTCAAATAGGGTCCAATCAAAGCAAAGACAAGGGTCCATTTGAGCTCTGGACTTCCAATACGATCGATGTTTGCTGTGTGTAGCTGAATAGCCAACCAGAAAGGGCGGTGTTGGTAGGACTGAATCCTTTCAAGGGCGTGGGAGAACCTCTGCCATAGGTATTCAAGATTGATGCTACCGAGCGCTATGTAAGGGAAAGAAATGAACATAATCTTCTCTAACCAGATGGTTATGTCTAGATACAGCTTAGCCTGCTTTTCAGAGTTATCCTGGAGGGCCTGTCCAGAGATCACATAGTCCCAGGAGAGTCGCGTCAGGAGACCCCAAGACGTCGTTATCATGGTAATAGCCATCCAGACACCCATCAGCTCTCGTAGAATGAGGTAGTCACGGTGTACGCGTCGTATCTCGCAACGCGCTGCGTCAACATCTCCTGTCAATGAAGCGCGTTGTACACTGTTCACCACGCGATTGAGGTCGTGATGAAGTGACGCGCGCTCGATGTAGATTAGATACCAGAAGAGACCGTATACTACCAGTCCCCATGCCGACGAAATGTCGCTGAATAGAAAGTAATTTAGATGGCATTCATGATGGATGACCGCCGATGTTATTGCTCTTAGGATGGCCTGAGCCAACGGCCAACAGATGAACATCAACATGAATAACGGCTTCAAGAGATGGCGATTCCTGGGAGAGCGTAGGACACGGACTCTCCGTAGCACATATGCCATGCCAAGAGGACTGCTGTGCATTGCATCAAGACCTGGTAGGAGCGCTGAGAGACGAATCACCAAGGCATATAATGGACCGAAGAGAATTGGAAGAGTAAAGGTGACGTAGGAGATCATGTCGAGCATTCCGCTAGAGACACCCCAGAAGTTGTATAAATACGTGCCACCATCAACCAAGAGAAGCATGGTCAGGGTAGAAAGGTACAGAAGAGAAGCTAATTCGAGGATAACATCCCGCCTGCAGCTCCCTGTCAGAAGTTCAAACATAGAATGATTAAGCCTATTACGTTGTTGTAGGCATACAGGTATTGGTCAAGGATGTAATGGCCGATCCAATACGGAAGCTTTGTGCTCTTTTACTTAAATTAGAATTAAATTACTCTAATGGGCACCAATATGTTGAGCTTGTCGACTCGTTTATCAAGTATCGCCCCCCCCCCATGAGAACAGTGCCCCCCACCCTATGCCATTGACAATACAAAGACACATGGTTGTCATACTCATCATTAAGATATATTTAAAAGTATTACATTTATCAGTCGATGAAGTTTTGATTGCAGATTAAAGGGTAATTCCATCTGCGACATAGGCCTAAACGTTTATCAATTCCATCCAAAATTAGAAATTCTTTTGATTCGACACTCGACTAACGGAAGTCATACCAATAACATCCAATACTCAATTGTCATCTTCAAAAACGTGATGTCAGTTTTTGTTCTTTGTTGTTAGAATAAACAAAGATTAATGTAGTACGAGACTTTTTACACTGAATGGCCGACAAGTGGAAATGAAAGCGAAACTCAATATAACGTGATTGTTTGGATTAATTGCTCACGAATTTTGTCGCTTAAAACTATAAAATATATTCTGCGATTAGATGCTAATGAGTCAACTATCCAACACTGTTGGACTTTAATTTGGAGTCAACGGTTAAATGGCAGGCATTTAATGGCTTTGGGGTTCAGAGGGGGGGTAAGATAACTGAGCTGAGGAATATCTTTATTGATTTGATTTGATTTATTTTCTTCTTCATTCCATATAAATATACACAATTATCGGTAATATAACAAAAAATAAATACTGAAAGGTATTTTCTGACAAGGGTTACATCATCAGTAGCACACAGCATGTCACTAATAAATTTGTAAATAATTTCATGGTTCAAAATTATATGTATAATTGTTATTGACGTACTATATATCTAACCAAAATCTAGGAATGATATACAATTATACTAATAATGCGATATGTAAATAACTTTTTTTTTTCTCCAATCAATGCATCGAAAGACGTCTATCCCGGCCAAGCCACATTAAGTTTACATAATGAAAATCACCCTTGCTTGTTATTCTGTTGTTGTTGTTTTTTGTAGTTGTTGTTGTTGTTGTTGTTCTAGGGAATGAAAGGACAATTTAATATAAAGTTAAATAATCAAATTTGCAACAAAAATAAGAGTTTTAAGAAATCACGAAAGGAATTTGTTTCCTGTCACATACTTTTACCTAATGCATTAAAGTAGAGGATGAAACCAAAGTCACATGATTATAAGAAAGAAGATAAACTTACGTTTAGAAGTTTTCTTTTTCCCAGAAGGTTCAAACTTTAACGCAATGAAATCGATGTCGCTTGCGTCTACCACGTCCGTCTGCGATTTTTTCGTGATCGTTTCCGTGATGTCGGTTTTCTTAAGTCTTTCCATGTTGACGTCTTCGTCGTGTTTCTGTCGTACGAGGTCATCAT